ACTGAGAGTACCAACGAGGAAAAAAAATAAACAAAAGATTTGTTACAATGGAAAGCTTTGAGATATTTTTGTTGGGAGTGTGTTTACCAGTGAACTATCTTTCCCTGACACACCATTGTCCCCTTTATGATGACTAGGATATGAGCCTGAGTAGAACTTGTCAGAAGCTCGAGTTTTGATCCCTGATGGAGCAGATCCCTCAGGATCATCTTCTGGTGATTTGTCTACATTCCGACAAAAATAAAACAGTATCAAATGTTTGTTTCTTACAAGCTAAATCTCATTGAAAATTGGTTTGGACGTTAGAACCCAATAAAGACATTGTAGTACCTCTGTTGTAACCATATCCGTTTCCAGGCTTGTATTTCCTCGGTGCATAGCCAATTTTGTGGCAGTTGGTGCTCCTAATCAAAAAGAGAAATTGAAATAACATAAGCTTATGGAACATCAAAGTCAAGCTTGAGAAAGCGTGAAAGGCAAGAAAAGAACTAGACCAATAAATCTTCTGCATTTGAACTAGCCGTGATTCAAGCCTAGAGAGAACTGTTGTACGCTCAAAGCCTTGCTTATCATGAGCAGGCTCCACAAAATTAGCTTCCAGAACACCTATTAGTAGCACAAGAAACTTGCATATTATAACATATTCAGGTACAAATAAGCAAATAAATTATTACAACTTCCAGATCAAGAAAATACCTATGACTCCACGGCCATCACTCCCTGCTGCATTCCATATCCTCCAAAACGGCTGATGAAACAAGTTAAAAAAGAACAAAACATGAGAATACAAAGTCCAATATTTTCCTCTAAAATCCTAGTATCATGTTAACCTTGATGAGTCGGTTTTTGTGGTAGACATTAAAGCCTTGAACATCAACATGATGTTTTGCGTCCTTCACGAATCCAAGAACTACAACAGCAGACATCTGACAAAAGAGATAACTAGTTTTAAACTGGATCCTTGCTAGCAGTAAACAGAAATGTATTATAAAAACATACATTTGAATCCTTAACATATGTATCGGCGGGACCATACTGAGGTCGATATGTGATCTGCTCAGTCTGCATCATATCATTCACTACATTGTGGTGCTCAACATCTTTTCCTCTTAGTATGATACGAAATGCAGGTGGGATTCTTAGGTAGAGGATTGATACATAACTCTGAGAACACGTTGTAAACATGTGAGAAATGAATATATATTGCAACAACAAAAAATGAAAAATAATGAATGTGTAATACCCTTAGTGAGTGTTTGAAGGTTAGGAAGTGCCTAGAATTAGGAAACTGAGAAGCCATTTTGATGTTTTTCTCATCCCTATTGACACCTCTGAGTTGGATATCCTGCGGATACAACAATTAATATGTTATGCATAAAGGCTCTGTGTAATCTCAAACATTAATATGCATACACTAAGCAATAAAAAAACTACATACATGTGGATCAGCATCAAAGTCAAGTTCCAGCAACCCATGGTCATCTTCCCACAGGTTATATATGATGATCCGTGTCCCACAATCCTTCATTAGACCAAACTACAACAAATTAAGCAACATGTTAGTGAGAACATCTGCTCAGAGACCGTAAAGGGATAGTAAGTAATATGAAAATCCACATAAATATGTTAATGACTCTTCTTTTTGCCTTTCCTCGGTAACAGAACCTCCCATGTAATTTTTCATTAGTGTGAATATATATTTACCTGACGAAGGAGATCCTCTTCACTAGAGAATGGCGACCATTGAATGATTGTTCTCACATTCTTATCCCAATCACTAAGGGAAGACTTGACTATTTTACTCCACTCAGGGTCTTTTTTTTCGTAGTCAAGCTGGTCATTTAAATAACAGCACAATAGAATATAAAGATACAACATTCATATAAACTCGAAAATAAATCTTGTGCACATAAAACATTTTGTATAACAGCATATGTGTTTGAACAGTTAAGGAACAAAGCTAAGCCACAATGATGAACCAGCAATACTGAAAATTTTATACATTGGTATACAAGCTAAGATAGTGAGAGAGAAGGGAACCTCTAACAAAAGATGAGAATAATAATATGAGCATACTATCTAGAATAGAGAAACCAAGTGGGTGACCATGGAGTTATTCTGTAATAATGCCACAGACAATCAAAGAAAGAAAGAAAGATTACCATGGGTACAACAATGTCTTCCTTTCCTGTGCTCCTCAGAAACGTATATGATAGGAGTCCTATGCTCTGCGTAGCGCTGAAACCAACATCAAGTACAAAAAAGTAACTATAACAGAACATTATAAGCCCGAAAGGGGTAGCAATTTGGAAAAAAAAAACAACTAACTTCTTTCCATCTTTTCCAGAGCAGCGTGAGAACACAATGACATCAGCTCCAAGTCTCATTGTACTAGTCTTAAAACCATTCCCATCTATAAAACAGTAGATAAATAAGCATTTTTACTACAAAACATATTATAGCTATCACTAGAGTTGGCAAAAGAATAATTACATTGTCCAATGGTGTTTGCAAGTTTGCTTTTGGCAGAGTATCCTAGAGACATGCATTGTCGCATTTTCTCAGGATCCATCCCACCTCCATTATCTGCATCCCAAACATCAGGATCGAGCAATTTAAGCAACAAAACAGGGGAGAGATTCTCTGAGATTGTGCTAAAATCAAATGTATACCTTCAATTAGTAACATCCTGTTTCCTTCTTTCTTATTTTCAAGCATGTCTACGTTAACATAAGTAGCTCCACTAGCAACCTGATTTCAATAAGAAACCATTAGTACAAAGCAGAACCTAATGCGCTCTAGTCTAGTTAGGAAAATTAAACACACCTCATCCAAAGCATTGTCCAAAAGCTCTGCAAAAGCTGCACGAACGAACAAATAAAAAAAAACAGATTCACTTATTAAAAATTACAAGCAAGTTCATATTTAAATTAGAAGTAGATTAATGATGAAAGAACACCTACCTCCTAGAGCCCATTTGTGACTGGTTGCATTAGAATGTAGAAACTTGGGATGGACTCTTACATGATCAAAGCCACCTAAGAGACACACATACAAATTGAGTAACACATCATGTCTTCACACTACTATAAGAGAACATGTGTTTACCTGAAGAAAGATCCCAATTACCACCAGGCGCTCCTTCATAATCTCCAGCCTTCCAAAACTGCTTGCAACTACCAACTCTACCGGAGGAAACGCCCGCCGCCGGCATATGCGAGAAGGCATTACATGAATCCGCCGGAAAAGTATGCGTCATATTCACCGGAGGAATCGACTGTCCGAATCCTTCAGGCAACACAACAGCTAACTCATTCTCCACCGTTCCCTTCTTCTTCGCATTCTCCCTGTCCACTGCAGCAGAAGAAGTATCTCGTGCCCTCTTGGCACCGACGTTGTTTACAGAGTTGTACCTTCGTTCAACAACATGTTGTTCCTCAACGTCGGAGTCATCGCTGCTACATAGATCGATAAGAGTAACAGTGTCATCTCGCGGGATGTACGGTGGTAAATTCTCTGGCTTCACTTCGTTATCCATCAATAAAGGAACGAGAAGATTAATGGTCTTTGAACAAGAAAACTGCTGCTACTTGCCGGCGAGTGGTCGGACTAGAGAGGCAAGCGGAGAGTTATAAATTATGAAGCGGCGGACATAACTAAAAAAGAACAGAAGAAACTGTAAAGAAAAAGGGTTTTTGACTTTGACCTTCCACGTGTATTGCTTTTACTTGTTCTCAGTTTATTTATTTTGTCGGCTACTTTGACTTGTTTAGTCTTTATCGTACATTGACAAAGAAAATAAAAAGTGATTGCTAATTTGTCAAACTCATTTAATAGTCTGACTTTTTCAGATACTTTACTGTACAATTTGACCTCTCAATTAGACATATAAATGCGCACATTCGATTATAACGAAACAGAAGTAGCCTGATGATGTTCGCCTCAAGGTAAGCAGATTCAATTCATGCAAGAATGATATAGATGAAACTCAACTATATATGGACCTATATCTTTTGATCCATTTTGGGCTTTATGTAAGTTTACATTATAAGGCATTAACTATTGATTTGTAAATGACTTTGGGTAGACATATTATCCATAACCCGAACCCGGACCGAGAAACCCGAACCCGATCAGTTATGGATCTTTCAAAATACCCGATCGGTTTTGATATGCCGATATTTCGGGTTCGGGTTCGGTTTAATCTGATATCCGAAACTAAAACCCGAAATAACCGATTATATGTATAATGTACAATAAGTATATACACATACTAATTATTAACTGATTTTGACAATTTCCAGGAAGGCACAACCACACTTTGTTATTTCCAATTCTAAGACACAATTAGGTCTAGACACAACCACACCTTTTATAATAACCTTAGGAGTGATTCTTTTATGTTACAGCTATGTTTTATGTTTTCTGTTTTCTTTTGTTTTTTTCTTTTTGCGGCTTGAGACATTAAAACTATCAGTTTTGTTTTAGTTTGTTTTCCATTTTAAAATTTTATGTTGTTATTATGGGTATTGGGTGTTGTTGCAAACACTTTTACTAAGTTTGAGTTTATTAATTTTGAGAGACATGATTTTTAGTTCTTATCTAGTCAACTTATGAATGTTTGTTAATTTGTTTTCTTTGAATTTTACTTTAATTAATCCGAAACCGATACAGTAAAACCCGAACCCAAATGATATATGGTAACTTTGGTATAACCCGAACCCGAACCGAAACCGATTTATTATATCCAATCCCGATCCGAATTTAAGAATTTCTTAAAATGGAACCTAGGAGGTGTTACAAAAAAGAACCGATATCCGATATACCCGACCCGAACCCGAATGGGTACCCGAACGCCCAAGCCTAACTTTGGGTTATAGCTTTTTTCGTCAAGTGGGTAACTTCTTAAGAGTTTAAAAATTCAAAACATTTGTCATGGATTTTAGTTATGATCGAATGGCTTGCGCTTATAGATTCATTTGATTATGCATCAAGTCTTTTTCCGTCAGATATGATGTAATATAGATGGTTGATTTATTCTCACAAAGTTAGAAAACGATTTTGAACAACAATAGCGTAACACCTGTGTTCCTTCCAAAATAGAAAAAACGCGTGGAAGCTAAGGCAATACAACAACAAAGGCCATGACTACTTTAAAACGACCACACAACTCATTTAGTGATCATCACATCCTTTCCCAAACCTTTTTTTTGTATAAACAAAACAAAAGTAAAACGTAAGATTAGGCAAGACGGGACCAACACCAACTCCATCACAAGACTAGTTAAGCTTCTTGTGTCTACTCACTCCGCGTGCCCTTCCTACATAGACATTAATAAAATTCTAAATCAATTAGGTCACCAATACACTTGTTATATCGCTACTGCTCCCTAAATTAGAAAATTAGGCAGCCTACTCATCTTAAAACATGATTAGATCACTTTTTAGTGTAATATAAGATATGTATTTTAGTTTTTCTTATTCTAAAAAAAAAACTAAGAAACAAAAAAAAAAATAAGAAACTCCGTAAATAAAAGATATAAGATAAAAGATATAAGAGATGTTATTAATCATTCTTAGGATAATAGTCTTTGAAAATAAAAAGTTGAGAAAAATATTAAATCATGGGTCTCCCTCATTAATCATGCTCTTAAGATAATAATCTACTTTTGAATTTAAAATATATCGTTACTTTTTTATTTTCAAAGATTTGAAGTTTAAATAATAATAAAATAAAAGATTATTACCTTGTGGGGGAAAATGGATTTAAGGATCTTGGGCTTGGTGGGCTTGGACTGTTGGTGAGGGAAGACGCCGTGTTTCTTGAACTGTTCTCTCACCAAACGGTTGTAGATGAAAGCTGCGCCATGGAACTGTGGCAGAACCAACCAAGCTACAAACACAAGTTTGACCGAGTACCAAATAGGAATCCACTCAAGAAGAGATTGAAGAATCAGTTCCGTGAGTGTGAGGAACGAGTATATGATCCAGTAGGATAACCATTGTTCATCGTCTACTTTCGTTGCGGTCTCCATCGCTACCACCGATGCGTACCTAATATTATATCAAATATAAATTTTAACCTAATTTTATTATCCTTTAACAAAACAAAATAGATTAAGGGAAGCTTACAGTGGATACACTAACATCACCACAGGCCTGCATATACATATCAAACAATATTAGAAAAGCCTGTAATTTTTTTTTTTTTTGTAAATAAAGCCTGTAATTTACAAACTGAAATACAGATGAATTTTATATAAATTAATAGGTAGGAGGACGAATAATACCCAGCGCCTGTGTGAAGAGCAGTGAGCAAAGTCCAAAACTTGCTCATTTTTCTCTTTTATAAAAAAGAAAGTTCAGAAGCTACTAAAATCTGGAAGAGTGAGAAACAGAGAGAGAGAGACAACTCTGTGAAATTGTTGAGGCTCTTTTCAAGGAAGAGCCTGATTTATAGAAAGTCCCTTAGAAAATTGTGCGGTTTGCTACAGTTGGTTCACACATTTTTCATTTGGCTCTAGTTACGGTTTAGTAAGCAAAAAAGAACATAAACGCTGATGTCATATCGGTCGGTTTACAATAACTCCGGTCTGGGTCTATCTGTTCATTTAGCGAATCCAAGTAAAGAACCTGGTTTGAATCGGTTTAGTTTATTCGTAAGATTGGTGTCACGTGGCGCGCGAGAGAACAAAGGGAGACAATGAATATTGTATAACTCGACATGACCGACCTAAAAAAGAAAGATTGGTCGGTCGGTGATTGCTACCGTCATTTGCTTTTTTTTCTCCAGAAGCTTTCTGAAACACCCGCATTTTCCATAATAATAAAATAATTAAAAATGTCTGAAATCTCCATTTATTAAATCGCATAAATCATCTCCAAACTCCATAAATCCAAATAACATAATAAATCTCAAAATAACGATAAACATAAGTCTGAAAATAAATGAATAAAACTCCCAAAAGCACCAGTCTGAAATGATCACTCCTGATCGTCAGTATCACCTGAAATGGGGAAGGAAAGAGGGGTGAGTAACAGGGGAGTCACTCAGTGAGGTATGGGATGCTAACCCGCAAACCACTGACTCAGTACATAGCACTACGACTATGTAGGCCTAGCTCTAGCATGAGACAAACATGGTGTCTATTACACCTCATAAAACAATCATATGCCTAGAGCACCATACAACAACAATCAATGCGATGATAGTACATAGCTATTCTCTGCACCCCGCAATCTCCTCATAGGGATATACATATATAACTCTACAGGCGTCGCTAGTACGGTAGTCCACTCCGTACCCCCGCAATCTCTACGGCGCGCTAGTACAAACGTCTCTGTACCCCGCAATCTCCACACAAGGCGGCGCTAGCACAGACGTCTATGTGCCCCCGCAATCTCCTCAAACAAGGCGTCGCTNACGGTAGTCCACTCCGTACCCCCGCAATCTCTACGGCGCGCTAGTACAAACGTCTCTGTACCCCGCAATCTCCACACAAGGCGGCGCTAGCACAGACGTCTATGTGCCCCCGCAATCTCCTCAAACAAGGCGTCGCTAGTACAGACGTCTCTGCACCCCCGCAATCTCTCACACATGGACTCGTATATATACATATATATATAGCATTCTTAACATCAATCATGTCATACAACCGTTGAATCCTCTATTATCCTATGTCCGGTTTAACAATCAATAATAATAAATAACAAAACAAGACTCTCAAACAGACTCAATTCACAGAGACGGAACATGTTTCAAAACTAAACTTTTCATAATAGTAGTACTAAACTAGTTCGGGATTTAAAGGAATAGCCCTCACCTTAGTCACTGGCTAGAATGATCAACGGAAGATGGTCAACTGACGTCAACTGCAACACGAGGGAATCAACGACTTAGGCTCAAAGTCTCAGGAAATAAAGTTTCCGAAAATGGAAACTTTCCTAAAATAGAAACTTTCCTAGAATAGAAACTTTCCTAAAATAGAAACTTTTCTAAAATAGCAGCTTCCCTAAAATGGCGGTTTCCTAAACTAGAAATTCCTCTAACTAGAACTTTCCAAAACTAGAAATAGAGAAGCAATAAACTTACCGGAACTATCGCCCAAAAACTCGCCCGGGGACCTGACCGAAACTCTCGCCAGAAAAATTAATTAGTGACTGGTCGTCGAATAATTAAACAACTTGTCACACGCAAAGAAATACTTTGACTTGATGAGAATAAAAGAGAAGGGGGGGAGTTTATTATATAGGGAAAGGGAAAGGAGGTAAACTTTCTAAACTTCCAATGTGGGACAAAGTAAAATACTTAAGAATTTTAATTACTAGAGAAAATGGGCCTACCTAGGTTTTGGGTCATTACACTTTCTTGTTTATTCAGTGTTAGCTGATTATATGAAAGACACGCGTCATTCGATCAACTTTACCGAGGAAAGCTAATGGTCATGGAAGATTCTTACCCCAACAATTAAGCTTCACAAGTTCAGAGAATGCTTTTTCTTTTATCCTTTTAGATCATCAAAGATATGCAATATGAATCTTTTTCAAAAAGTTAAATTCCGTAAAGCACTAAAGAGCCCAAGTCAAATATGTGATACACAAGGCACAAGATACACGATGTAAAAAGAGAGGTCCCAAGAGCTAAAACAAAAGACTTTTTAAGGCAAAAAAGATATAAAAACTAGATTAATTCATCCTCTGCGCAGCTTCCTTGGCTAGAACTCTCTCTTTAGCCTTAGTCTTGGCATGTGATTCGGATTCCATTATCCCACCTCCCCACTTCTTCCTGTACTCCTCATACTTGTCATTGAAGTTTGCCTATAATCCAACCATGAAAACCATTTGAAAATTCATAAACACCACATAGCAATTGTAAATGAACAATCATCACTAACCTTAATGGCATCAAGGACTTTGCTGAACTCCATCTTGTCCTCGTTCTTCACTGTTACCAAACACAAGCAAGCTGCTGTTTTCTGGTGAACAATCTACAAACAAGTAACCACCAACAAAAGAGATTACAGATCACATTACAGATAAAATGCGTAAACATTCATATATCATTACCGCTCCTAATCTTGACTTCCCCTTGATAATACAGTAAGGAACTTCCATTTTCCTGCACAGTGCAGGCAACCAGACAACCAACTCAATCGGGTCCACATCATGAGCAATCACGACCAACTGTGCCTTGTTCTGCAATCATAAGACAACAGATAAGTTTCAGAGAAGATTAACTCCTAGAAAAGTTATGAAAGGGAAGAGACCTGCTCAATGAGGTATGTAACATGGTTAAGACCATACTTCACGACAATTGACTTCTTCGATTCAGCAGGCTTTCCCTCAGCCTCGGCCTGAGCCTTCTTGAGAAGACGTTCTTTCTTGGCTGCCTTGTCCTCAGGCCTATACTTGAGGAGAATCTTGCAGAGAGAAGTTGCTGCAATGATAACAGACACTGAGTTAAAAATAGAGGGTAATTATAAAAGGGAAGGAGATGAGGGAAGAACTTAGTTCTTGTCAAGGGTTTTAGTGAACTGGTTGAGTGCTGGTGGGACCTTAAGTCTCTGCTTCAGAATACGTTTCTGCCTCTGGAGACGGATGGACTTTGGCCATTTGATGTATCTAAGTTTATGTACAATAAATATTACATGTACATTTTATTTGAGTTTTATTTTGGTTTTAGAACCATTTAATTTATAACTTCAAAGATATTAGGAAATTTACTTTTAAATATTTTTCTAGTGGGTGGTTACTGAGAAAATATAAATAACTATGCTCAAACAACACGACTATACCTGAGACTCTTGACAGATCATAGATTGGGTTCAATGCATTAGATATAATGGACAAAGAAACCAGAACGCATTAGTAGTGAGCACTTTTGTCATTTTTTTTTTCACTTGCATGGTCTATTTCGACTTTTGAGCCTTACATGTCATTTCTTATTTTCAGTAAGCTAGCATTGTAACAACAGTGAATTACTGATATGGATGCACATGAAATGAAATTTTTTAGCTTCTATGAGTTTGATGTTTCCAGTTTGCTGTTACAATTTCGCCGACGTTTTAATTCTTCTCCTTCTAGTATCATTCCTCTTTTCTAACACAGTTAAGTTCTTGCTACAACACATTATCAGATGTTGGCTTCGGATAGTCCTTGTATTCCTGGGAAAAATAATAGAAGCCAGCAAAAAAATGGTTTTAACTAAACTATAAGATGCTTGGTCTGGCAGAGGTTTCACTAAACCAGACAATGTAGCATGAGAATCAGCTGAATAACAACAAAGTTAGAATTGATTGAAGACACTATGGGTTCTCTGAAATTTAATTTTTTTTTATCAAATAGAATGAAGATAACATGGAAAAACGATATTGCAGATATAGCTTGATCCTCACGTTTATTATATGTCTCCGTATATATTGTTTCCTTTATTTAGATACGCACAGATCTTTTGATCACTTTGTATAAATATGACCTAAGGGTCTCTGTAATAAACACAACTTCTTCGATCAATACTCAGTCTCTTTGTCATGGTATCAGAGCAAGATCTGAAGACCTAAAATCAAAGCCTCTCGGCATCTTATTATTTCTGTAAAACTCTGTTTTTCTTCTCCGAAAACAGAGCATCATCTATTCTTTATCAAAGCCTCTCAGCAAAACTCTTTTGAACCATCACGATGTCTCTCACAACTACAGATTCTGTTCCTAAACGCAAAACGATATCTCCTTATGATCTCACGTCTGGTGACAACCCTCGAGCAGTGATATCTCAACCACTGCTTAACGGCTTAAACTATGACGAGTGGGCTATCAACCTGCGAATGGCTCTCAGTAGTCGCAAGAAGTTTGGGTTCATCGATGGCTCAATATCCAGACCTGATCCTAGTTCCTCTACACTCGAAGATTGGGTTGCCAACAACCATCTCTTGGTTGGTTGGATCAAACTTACAATTGAACCAAAACTCAGATCTTCAATATCAACTCGTGAAGTGGCACGAGATCTATGGGAAATTATAAGAAAACGTTTTTCTGTCAAGAGTGGAGCACGTCTTCAACAGCTCAGAAACGCTCTCGCTTCCTGCAAACAACAAGGATCTTCGGTTGATGATTATTTCGGTCGCTTGACAAAGCTCTGGGATGGAATTGCAGAATGCACCACCACGAAGCGATGTGAATGTGGTAAATGCACGTGTGATCTTAACACTGCTCGAGACACAGAACTTGAGATACTTAAGATTCATGACTTCTTGTCTGGCCTTGACGATGATGTTCATGGAGCTATTCGAGCACAGATATGTGCCATCACACCTCTGCCTGATCTCGATACAGTGTATCAAACCGTAGTTCAGAATGAGACAACTCGCTCCAGTGTTCTTAAAGATACAGCAGTCATGAGTTTTGCGTCTCAGTCTTCATCATCTTCTTCTCGTCAATACGGTTCATCTTCACAACGTCCCACTCGTGATAGCTCGAATTCTGGGATATTGAATCGTGATCCATCAAGAGTGTGTACTGCTTGTGGTCGTACTGGACATGAGGCAGCATCATGTTTTCGAATTGTGGGCTATCCTGAGTGGTGGGAAGATCGCACGCGCGGCAAAAACAATTCTCGCAACTCAGCACCTCCTGCGACGGGCCGTGGACGTGGTCAAAATCTGAGAGCAAACAGTACTCAGATAATGGTTGCGAACTCTGCCGCTGCAGGATCAAACCAGCCTTTGACTGATGCAGATAGGCAAGGTTTGAGTGGTTTAACTGAAGATCAATGGCGAACCATTCAGAGAGTTCTTAGTTCACCAATTCCTACGGATCGCCTGAGTGGTAAGGATAACGACGTGTCTTGGATAATCGACACAGGTGCCACACATCATATGACAGGATGTGCTGAATTACTTCATGATGTGCATACTATTTCTCCTGTTTCTGTTCAGTTGGCAGCAGGAAAAAATGTTGTCTCTTCCCAACAGGGCACAGTTTTCTTAACACAAAATCTGTGTTTAAAAAATGTCTTCTTGGTTCCTGGATTTCATATGAATCTTATTTCTGGTGGACAATTATTGACTGATAACCATCTTGTTGGACACGTAACTGATCGCTTGTTGATTTTTCAGGACCGAACTTCGAGGATTCTGATTGGAGTGAGTGATCGTGAGAGAGAGGGACTGTACCGATTTCGCAAGATTGAGAATATGGTTGCAAGTCAAGCTTTTGTTCGTGGGGACTCTACCTTATGGCATTTGCGCTTGGGTCACGCCTCTTCTCGTGTTATCAACAAACTTCCTGGTGTTAAAGATTCTTTTAGTAGTATTGATAGTGAGCTTTCTACAATAAGTTGTGATGTTTGTCTTCGCGCAAAACAAACTCGTCAGTGTTTTCCAGATTCTTTATCTAATGCAAAAGAGATTTTTGATTTAGTTCACTGCGACTTGTGGGGTCCTTACCGTACTCCAGCCTTTTGTGGATCAAGATATTTTTTGACTATAGTTGATGATTGTTCTCGGGCTGTGTGGTTGTATTTGTTGAGTGACAAGTCAAGTGTTTCTGTTCAGCTTCAAAATTTCTTGATAATGATTGAGCGACAGTTCTCCAAGAAAGTGAAGACAATAAGAAGTGACAATGGCACTGAATTTATGTGCATGACTCGATTCTTTCAACAAAAAGGTATTATTCATGAGACATCTTGTGTATACACGCCACAACAAAATGGTCGTGTTGAACGCAAGCATCGCCATATTTTGGAGGTGGCTAGAGCTTTACGATTTCAGGGAGCTTTACCGACTACATTTTGGGGAGAGTGTGCTCAGACGGCGGCTTATTTGATCAATCGCACACCATCACAAGTACTTCGTGGCAAGACTCCGTTTGAAGTTCTGTATGGCCATCCACCGAGTTATAAACACTTGCGTGTTTTTGGATGTTTAGCTCACGCTCACAACTTAGATCACAAGGGCGATAAGTTTGCTTCACGTAGTCGCCGGTGTATCTTTGCTGGATATCCATATGGTAAGAAAGGCTGGCGCTTATATGATCTTGATCGTGAAGTGTTCTTCGTCTCTCGCGATGTGGTTTTTGATGAAAGCATCTTCCCTTACTCCGACGAGTTACCATCCTCTTCAGTAATATCATCTCCTAACGTCACGCCTCCTGTAAGTCTCCATGTTGAAAATGACGATGAAGCTCTACATGATGAGACTATTTCTACTGATAATATTGATCTTTCACCACCAGAAATACCATTGAATGCATCCGACCCTTCCGCTTCTGATAATGATTTAGGGCGCGGCAAACGTACCAAAACAAGGTCATCACGTCTTACCGATTACATCGTTGGTACAGTCACTCTATCACCTCTCTCTTCTCTCACGACATCATCCTCTCAGACATCCTCAGGTACGGACTATCCTCTCTCTGATTATTTATCAGCTCATCGCTTCTCTCCTGCGTATTGTAGCTACTTGGTTGCATTAACCACAGCAGTTGAACCTCGGTCTTTTAAAGAAGCAATGACATACGAAGAATGGAGAGAGGCTATGAAATCAGAGATTACTTCTCTCGAGGACAATCATACATGGGATCTTACTGATCTTCCACCAGATAAGAAATGCATTGGCAGTCAATGGGCGTTTCGAGTTAAGCTAAAAGCCGATGGAACTTTAGAACGCCATAAAGCTCGTTTGGTGGCATTGGGTAATCATCAAGCTGAAGGTCTCGACTACAAAGAAACCTTCGCTCCTGTGGCAAAATTAACCACTGTTAGACTTCTTCTTGATATTGCAGCAAAAAGAAACTATGAAGTTCATCAAATGGATGTTCATAACGCATTTCTACATGGTGATCTCGAGGAGGAAGTTTATATGAGACCTCCACCAGGGTTTACTGCACCAGGTGATAAACGAGTCTGTAGGCTTCGGAAGTCTATTTATGGGCTAAAACAATCACCCCGGTGTTGGTTTGGTAAGCTTGCTGATGCACTTTTGAAGTACGGTTTCAAGCAGTCTCGTTCAGATTATTCACTGTTCGTTTTTCATCATGGAGGTATTTCTGTTCAGATTTTGGTATATGTTGATGATTTGATGATCACGGGTAATTCTCCATCTGCTATAAATGAGTTCAAAGATGATCTATCTACTTGTTTCAAAATGAAAGATTTAGGACATGCTAAGTACTTTCTTGGTTTGGAGATTGATCGTAGCTCAGCTGGAATATATTTGTGCCAGCAAAAATATGCGCTTGATATTGTCACTGAAGCTGGTTTGTTGGGTTGTAAGCCAGCTGGATCTCCTATTGATCAGAACCATCAACTTGCTATTGCCAAAAGTCCACCGTTAGCTAGTCCAGAGAAATATCGCAGACTCATTGGTCGGCTTATCTATCTTGCTTCCACACGACCTGATCTTTCATATGCTATTCATATCTTGTCTCAGTTCATGCAAAAACCAAAAGAAGACCATTGGCTTGCGGCACTGAAGTGTGTGAGGTACTTAAAAGGAACTCTCGGACAGGGTATTTTATTGAAAGCCGGGTCTTCATTGCATCTAACTGGATGGTGTGACTCAGATTGGGCGAGCTGTCCGTTGACTCGCAAATCTTTAACAGGATGGATAGTACAGTTTGGAGATTCTCCTATCTCATGGAAGACAAAGAAACAAAAGACAG